CGGGCCCGGATGGAACGCCGGGGAACCCGGAGGAGGGGCTGTGGTCGCCGGGAACGAGGCAGGCGGCGGGGTTTGGAGACAGAAAAGTAGGTCGGGGGGGTGAAGAGTGGATGGGGTGGAAGGGGAGAGGAGCGCGCAGCGCGCCCCCGGCGGCCGCGCTGTGGTGCCCGAAGGCGGGGGCCCGAGGCGCATGCGCACGCCTGGGCGGGTCCGGGGGCGCGCACGCAGGGCGGGGCGGAGCCAGCGTTGGGGCACGTATTCCTGGCCGCCGAGAGACGGAGAAGGCAGAGCTGGTCCTTTCCTCCTGGGTCGGGACGCAAGTCCCAAGAGAGAACTGGACATGCGGCCTTTTGCAGACACACACAGCAGCTGTCCGGGCTCCCCACCTCGCGCAGCAAAACAAACGCTTCCCTCCAGACTTAGGACTTGTGATCATAAGTTTTATTAGTCTTAGGAGGAGAAGATCATCGATAATTCCTCAAATTTACAAAAAAGTACAAAAGTTACATACAAAACGTTGAGATCAGACGACTAAACTTTCCCGACTCAGGCCCAAGTTCTGCAAGGGAAAAAGAAAGAAGGATGTGAGCTGGGGAGGACTGGAGAAGAGGGAAGGCTCGTAGAGCCAGGTAGGGCTGTGCACTCACCTTCTTAAGCCTCCGCTCCCGTGAGGCCTGGGAGTCAGTCTCGGAGTAAGGGGGAGGCGCTGGAGGGTAGAAGGCTTCCTCGTCTTCCTCCCTGCAAGGTCTCCTTCTCTCCGCTGGCCCCTTTTTCCGCAAGGCGTCTTCTAGTAGCTGCCCATCATATTGGGGGTCCCCAGACCTGGAGCCATCATCTGGAGGGTCCCGGGAGGGGTGGTAGCGGGCCCTAGGGTCAGCATGAGGGCGGCCTCTAGACCTGAAGTCATCACAGTAGGGATCCCGGGAGTGTGGGAAGTGCCTTGAGTCGTCTTGGTCTTGGTCGTAGAGGTCATCACGGCTGCGGCTTCGGGGGGGTGCACAGGCCCGGCCTCTCCTCCCACTACTTGGGGGAGACCTCCCTGATTCAGCAGAGCCCGGCCGGGCGAGGTCATCTAGAGCATCCACAGAACGGGCTCGGGGCCGCCCGGCCCCCCAGGCACTCCCTGGCCGGTCCGGGGGGGGCTCTTGTTCCCACCTCCTCGAACTCTGCGGGGAGTGGTGACCCCACTCCTCATCCCGGATCGGGATGAGGGCAGGGCCCCGGGAAGGCCGGGATCTCCAGTCGTCCTCATGGAGGGAGGTGACTTCACTCATGGCTGTGGGAAGGAAGGTGTCACTGGTGGGAGGAAGTCAGGACCTAATGTCAGGAGCCCTGTGGTCCAGCAATGTCACCCACTTGGCTCATATACTCTCAAGGGGGCCCTAGGCTTTTCATCTATTTAGTGATGATCGTACACTTCACTGTGGCCATGGTAGGGAACGAGGGATTGTGTCCAAGATTTGGAGCAGGTATCAGGGAGTCATGTTTCCCCCAACCCCCACAAGAATCCCTCAGACCCCAAGGCTCCTCACCTCGCTCTACACGGCCATTTGGGGGACCAGGTCGAGAAGAGTCAAAGTTGGCCAGCTCCTTCTCCATGTAATACAGGACCCGCATGGAGTCGTCCTGCTGGTTGGCCTGAATCCTATAGCCACTACGGATTTCTGGGGACAGGAGTTGGAGGTGATCAGTTCGGGAGGTTGGATGCTGACCCAGCCCCCTCCCCTACAGGCATGTCCAACCTCATAAGGATTGGTTCTCACCAGAGGTCACGTTGCTGTCTGTGTCACGAAGCAGGGGTACCTGGGAGCTGTGGCCACCAACTGGGGGAGACTGGCTGTCAGGAGGAAAACCCTGCATTCCCAGCCCCCAAGCCCCCCTTCCAGCCCCAGACCCCTTAATGGCCAAACACCCAGCCTACCCCCTGCCCCAGCTGCTCCTGGCTCCCCCCGACCTCACCTGAGCTATTCCTGTCGAAGTCTCCAGAGTACCCGTTGTACAGAGGGCCCATGGGAATCATGGCTGGGGTCTTGGCAGGGGAGAGGTGGGCGTAGGTGCTGGGGGCGTAGATGCTTGGGACGCCTGAGGTGGCAGCTTTGCCTGCAACATACACTGGGGAGGACACACATAGCATGAGAAGGCCCCCAGGGGCCACATGCCTTCGTCCCACCCCACCTCCCGCCACCCCAGGCTGAGGAGCTTCCCTAGGTGCTTGGTTGGCTTCTGCAGGGTCCCTGAGGTTAGGGGACATCAGCTTAACTGAGTCCACACCTCCTGTGCCATTCCTCACAGAAGTTTCAGGATGGGGGGGTGCATATTGGCAGCCGGCGGCCCCGATCTGGTAGGCCAGTATGTTTTAGACAGTTTGATGGTTTGCCAACATCTGACAAGGTTTTACATCAAACTCTCCTGCCAGCTTATCACAGGATGCGGCCACCCTGGACCTGCATTCCTACAGAGCAACAGGGGCAGAGGCGCCCTATAGATAAAGCCCACAAGCCGGTAAACAAGTATTCCCTTTGGCAGCTGAGCCCTTGCTCTAGAAAAATGGATCATCTTGCGGGGGGAATCCCATGGCAACTCCCCTCTCACGCCTGCTCCATCCTCCCCACAGGGTCTTGCAGACCCAAATGTGATGGGACTCAGTCTGAGGCAGGATCTTGGGAGCCTCAGCGTTCGCTTGCCTCAGCCAAGCAGCAAAGCGTCTCCTCTAGTGTTTCCCACTTGGGGGCCGCACCCACCCCGTCCCCGCCTGGTTCTAGGCTTGACAGCTCAAGGGCAAATCCTCCTCCTCTCCCTGCCACCTTCCTCCCCAGGCAAGAGGTTGGGTTCTGGTGGCTGCTTTGAGGCAAAAGTCATGGGCCTGGGCAAGTCACCTCCTCCCCGGGACTCCAACAGGAAGATGGAGTGGGGAGACGGGCTCAGGAAGCTCCCTTCACCTCTGATTCAGTTGGCAAGCAGAAGGCTCAGTGCTCAGCCCCACCCCACCCAGCCCTGGAGAAGCCCTTCAGCGGCTCAGCTGATGTACCCTTTTATAATTAACTGTGGGAGATGCTGCTCCAGGACAGCTTAGCAGGACTGTGGCTGTGACAGAAACGACAGGGCCTCCGGCAGGGAGTTAATGGGACCTCGGTTTGGGGTAACAGGGTCTCAGGATGGAGGAAATGGGGCCCCGGGCCTGGCATTTGCAGTCCTGGTCCCAGCCTTAATTAGTGGGGTAACTGCAAACTTGTTTGCAGCCGTTGAGGAGTCCACCCGACCTGTGAAATGACCAACACCCACTGCCCGAGCAATAAGCAAGAAGCTCTCACTAAAAATGATGAGAGGGAGAGGGGGTGGCCAGCACGGGCCTCCAGAGAGCAGTGGATTTCTTTTTTCAGGGCCGCGATGAAGCAGGTTGCCCACTGCTGAGTTCAGTGACCATAAAGTTAGCCAGCATGGATTGAGATGCGGCCACGTGCTGGGCCTGCATACACAGTGCTCCCTTGATGCTCACGACGCCCCCGTGATGGCAGGACCTTGCAGAGAAGGAAAGCAGCTGCTCGTATGAGGTCACATGGTGTGAGTGGCAGGGCTCTGATTTACCAACGCTGACAGCAGCAATGTCCAACAGCTAGTGGGCGGGGAACACTCTGTGTAGGCCAAGCCCCGCAGTTAATGCGGGACACACCAGTTCACTGGATCCCAACTCACCCTGTACAGTGGGCTCTACCATGGCCCCATTTTACAGAGGAGGAAACTGGGGCTGAGAGGGGAGGTCATTCACTGGGCTTCCTAACAGGTAAGGTGTCCAGCCAGGACTCAAACTTCCACCTGCCCAAGCTTGCAACGACTGCCTATGATTTTACCTGGACCATATTACACTGGAGTTATGGCACGTGGAAACCTTAAATATAAGGATGCCAACACACAGCCATCTGAGCTACATGGGTAATTCTTTCCACCACCTTGGCCTATAAATCAGCAGGTGCCAGGAGAGGGGCAGGTCTGTCCCTCTTTTGGTCTCCCATAGTCTAGGTGCTCCTAACACGTGAAGTTATTTATTTCTATCTACCAACATCATCTGTTCATCAACTAAAGATATGGTGAACTTGACAATGAGGAAGGAAAAGGTGAGGTGTCCTCACTAAGAACTAGTAGGGAAGTATGCTTTCATGGCCCTCTTTCAATACAAGGAACAAGAGAGCAAGATATGTCTGAATATAAGAAAGCAGCCAGTGTAAACTTCCACGTCAGAGTTGATGAAAATAGTCATGTGAACTTCCCAACAACTGAGTGCAGAGGTGCTGGTTCACCC